CTTAGATCTATGTGTGCTACAATTGTGGGCATCCCTTGAAATTCTTAGTAAAATCTAACTAAAGCATACTCCATTCATATTTTATATTTTAAAGTGATGAATGATTAGGAGTGCTTAAATGGTCAGCCATGACAATGTTTCACTGGAGTATAAATATGAGGTGACAAACAGATTTTCAAATTTCCTCCGTCATCCATCACTATGAGAAAGAAAAGGGAATACAGCAAAAATGTGCAACAAAAGGTCGCCGGGCTAGACAAATAAGAAAATGGCTACAAGAAAATCACTAAACGGTTGAAAATGCAAATCAGAGTAAGAGTTCACATGCACTGAGAAATCTGATTATTGAGCTAGAATCCAACTCTCTTTATCAGATTTCTTCATCACATTTCTCGATTATGATCGGATTATTGAGTGCATGTAAATGCACATAATGAATCTCATAAAACCCTTCCAAAACTACAGAGGTCTGGACCTCAGTGTCCTCGTGGTTGTGGCAGCCAAGGGTAAATCCATTCATTAATGGTTACTTTTAGAACTCGCGGGTCTACATTACTCCACCAAGGGTTCCCCTACAGGGCAAAACATTAGAACTTCAAAATGGGTGTACAGTGTATGGAGCAGTTCCTTTTAAGAGTCTAACGGCTCTGCAGAAGAGAGCCATAATGTCTAATTCATGCTTGGTAATGCTGTGGCCTCTTATGCTGAGTCTGCACAGTAAAACACTCTCCTCTTTACAGAGGCCTTTACGTTTGGACGCTGGTCCTCCCTCAGAAACTGCTAAAGCAAGCTTCTCGTAAGCTCTGCACCTGCTGTTCGGTGCTCTCTTTGTGTTCTGGCACACCTGCTTTAACTCTTGAAGGGCTTGCTAATAAGCTAATGAGTTGAAGCAGGTTTGTTAGGGCAGGGAGAAACACCAAACTGTGCTGGACTCCGGCCCCCGAGGACCGCAGTTTGAGATCCTTCTGCTAAAGAATTCCTGACAGCTGTGCTCAAATTGGTCTCTTGGTTTGCTCAGGCATAAATTAAGAATGCCTCCCCATGCCTGCAAAAGCAGCCACAGAGTGTGCAAGCAGCTTCTTGCTCAGCAAAAAAAGCCTACACAGTTTTCCCCTTACCCCAAATGTAATAGACATTTCATATCCATAGTTGCTGCTTTAGTATTGCGGTGGAGATAATGTAGCTAACAAGCTGTGTTTGAGCAGGATAATCATCAAACTGTGCAGCAGTCCGGCCCTCCAGGACTGAAGTTCCCCACCCCTGATTTAGCCATTCAGTTTGCATAATGCCAGTTGGAGGTATATACACTTCCTTTAGCCTTCTTTAGCCTCGAAGCTCCAGTGAAAACCAAAAAGAAGCAAACTTCGGTCACTAAACATGTCTTGACTCATTGAGCCCAATTTGAGCAGATGAAAGAAACTGAGAATTGTATTTATTGTTGCATCGTTTACACAATCAAACCTGATTCGAGCTTGAAAAGGTGTGGGTTTAATATCAAATGCATTTTAGGGGCTGGATTAAAAAAGGAAACAACAGTCTAGAGTGTCAACCGTCACTCCTTCATTTGCGTTGCTACAGGATGGAGTTTTTACAGCTTGGCAACAGAATTCTCTGAGCCCCAGCCTGACTTGAGAGAGAGAGAGAGAGAGAGAGAGATGGATGAGTCACAAGGGCTCCCAACGGGATGCGGCTCAAGGTAACAACAATCTCTCTCTCCCTCTCAGAAAGAAAATCAACTCGCAAACACGCTTGTGGAGCCCACCATACAGCGGCTCGAGCTCTGTCACACTCCTTGGCCTCAGAGCCAGGAAACACCAAAATACAACAGAAACTTTTCCACAAAAAAACAAAGATAAACCTTGTATATTTCCCACTAAGTGCTTTTTGCACACTGTTAACTGTAACGTTTTGGCAAATAATCTCATGCTTCACTCGGGTGATGTCATTAAAGGTTAAGAGAGTGGAGTTCATTGGCTTTTCAAGAACAACCTAGGCAAAACAGAATTTCTCCTCAGCCATTTGCAGCCAGGCAGTCCAAGAAACGGAATACTGACTTTAAACCAGAGAGCCAACAGAAGTACAAAATAGAGCAGCCTTTGAAAAAACGTAAAGAATATTATTACACACATCAATATTGTGTCATTTAACTCATCTTTTAAGACTTTTACTTAAAGAGAAGAAAAGTACTCAAAAAGGCAAGCCGGGTCTAACAGCTAAAAGGCAACCCATACCTGAAAACCAAAAGACTGATTTCAGGCCTTACTGTCAAATAAAACATCGAACAATGTTGGATAACATATGGGTGTGAAGCCTTCAAAGACATCTGTCGCAGTGCTGGAGAAGAAAAAACTGTCTCTTTAGAAAAATAGCTCTTTTCTATGTTTTGAAGGCCAGTACATTTAGTCCTCTTAGCTTCTTTTATACAGTCTTTCTTTTACATAAACTCAATTCAGAATGCTTGCTATGGAGAGGAATTCATGCCAGACTGGAAAGCAATCGCTATAGTGGAAAAACGTGAATTGCAATGCACACATTACTTTTCCACTGTGATATGCAGAATACATGCCAAAATGAAAACCAAACCCTCTATTACATTGTTTTAGCGACACCTGACTTCTTCAAAACAATGATAGAGGATTTAATACAATTGATTTAATTTAATACAGTCCACCCTGAAATGTTCAAACTGCTTTCCACTGTGCAGCACTTAAAACAATGTTATATCAATGTAATGTATCTTTAACTTCTCATTTTGACACATTTTCTGCAAGTTACTCTTTAAATGCAGTCTCATGTGTGCATTGCATTTCAGCGTTTTGGCTGCAATTCAATGAAGTAAATACATTTGAAGTACAAACAAGAGGTCAAGAGATATGAAAACAATGTAATAGAGGTTTTGCTTTCCATTTTGGCATGTATTCTGCATGTCACCTTTGGAAAAGTAATGCTGTGTGCACTGCATTTCACTGTTTTCACTGTTATGACTGCATTTCAATGAAGAAGATCTGTTTAAAGTGCTGCACGGTGGAAAGCAATGTAACTGAGCCTTTATTATATTCCAAGGTGGATTGTATTCAATTCTGACATTAATTCAGCATTTTGTTTCTAAAATGCAAATCCTCATGTGCTGTTTTTCAGCAAGAGGTTGAGTGATGTGAAAACAACGTAATAGAGGGTTTGTTTTCCATTGGTCTTCATGTCACACTGGGTAAGTAATGTCATGTGTACATTACATTTCAGGTTTTTCCACTGTACTGACTGCTTATCAATTTGGCACAAATTCCCCTCCCTAGCTGGCGGGCACTTAGATTACAGCAACTTTATCATGAGATTTTTCTGTCTTCTTTCTCTGCTGAGTCCTTGAAGGCTCATCAAAATGGGCTAAAGGCTAAATGAGAACCAACAGTTATTGTTCTTCTTTGGTTCTATCTGACACTAATTTAAAAAAATGTCAATTAAAAATCACTAAATTACAGTCAATAAAGAGCATTTTAACACTTTTTGGCTCAGAACTGAAAAGACTGTCCATTTAATGTTGGCTCGCAATCCTCAGTGGGGTTGATGTCAGAGCTCTGTGTGAGCCAGTCAGGTTCTTCCACACCAAACCCACCCAGCCATGCCTTTATGAACCTTGCTTTGTGCACTGGGGCTCAGTCATGCTGGAACAGAAAAGGGTCTTCCCCAAACTGTTCCCACAAAGTTGGAAGCATACAATGGTCCAAAATGTCTTGGTCTGCTGAAGCATTAAGATTTCCGTTCACTGGAACTAAGGGTCCTAGGCCAACCACTGAAAAACAACCCCATAGCATTATCCCTCCTCCACCAAACTTTACAGTTGGAACAATGCAGTCAGGCAGGTGATGTTCTCCTGACATTCACCAAACCCAGACTCGTCCATCAGACTGCCAGATAGAGAACGTGATTCCTCACTCCACAGAATACGTTTCCACTGCTCCAGAGTCCAGTGGCAGCGTACTTTACTCAATAATGAGGATGGGTGTCCTAATACTTTTGTCCCTATAGTGTATCTAGACCTTCTTGAAGGCCTGGAGGATCATGATCTCTTTCAAAATTGGTCCCACTGATTGTACATCAAAATGTGACTGGTTGATTTCACTGTCTACTTAATTATGGTGGTTAAAACTTCTCAGGCCAATTTGTTTTCAACCAAACTTAACACTAAAATAAGACAACTATGACTACAATACTTTAAATAAAGAAACATAATCCTTCTATGAAATCAAAATGAATTAAAATTACAGACGTCATTTTTGTTCCCAAATGTCAGTGGGCTTTATATCAAAAATTATATCAACAATATTCACATTAATGTGATTAATTACATCACAAAATGCTTTTGAGTATACTGTGGGTATTTCCAAAACACCTAAAACTCCAAACAATTGCAGATATAATAAAAAAAAGACCAATTTAGATTCAGATACACTGCCTGACAGCAACAACATCCAGTGTATAGTAACTACATAATCTACATAGTAACAAGTAGCTGATTGGATGTCAGTTTATTATGGCATTATCTTATTTTATTTATTTTTATATAGTTGTTTTATTTTTCCTCCTGTTCTTTCTTACATTGTTCGTTGTTGTAACCATTAAATTAAAAGCTGGTACATAAATAGATAAATACACATGTGACATAGTATGACAATGACTTTATGTTATATTTTTGCCATATCAGCCAACCAGAGATTAGCATGAAATAACTTAGAGGAGAGCTATACGTACTTTCATAGCAAGGAATATAGCTCAAAGCTCAGTATCTGCTTAATGCTACAGCCTATTCTGCACACTGTCTGAAAGCTGAAAAACAAAAGAATAAGAGTTTACTGTGCAGACAGTCTAGGAAAGTTGACATCTGATTTTTCATGTTAATCACCCAAACACTTTCAGCCAGATTCGACACATCCAGAGAGCAGACTGTTGCTTTGCAGGTGTGAGGATGACGAGTGGTGACGAAGAGTGATGGAGAGGTTACTCACTGAACGCGGCTATGGCCAGGATCAGCGTCACCACGATGGACACCCATGACACCCACAGGGCCTTCTTACGGTAACTCTGTGCCTCGTGGGGTTTCAGACGCAGGCTGCTCTCCAGGAGGTCTGTCAATCAAACCAAATCAATATCTCACTCAATCAAACAGGACCATCATGAATATGTAAGTACAAGAATAAGGAACTTCAAGGAATTTCTGGAAGAGTTAGTCCTCTTTTAACCCTAACCTTAAACCCAAGTAGATCTAATCCCACAGAAAAGAAACAGTATAATCCTATACTGTATTTGTAAAAAGCCAGACATTTCGTAAACACTTAGAGATGTTATTCATCTTTAGTTTCATATCTGATGATATACTACACGTCAAAGTTTGGGAGCCCCCTCCCCCCTTTGCTGCAGTAACAGCCTCTACTCCTCTAGGGAGGCTTTACACTGATTGTTGGAACGTTGCTGTGAGGATCTGATTGCATTCAACCACAAGAACTTTAGTGAGTTCAGGTACTGATCTTGGATGATTAGTTCTAGATCACAGATGTCACTCCAACTCATCCCAAAGGCAGTGGATAGAGCTCCATCACTCCAGAGAATGCAGTTCTATTGCTCCACAGCCAAACGCTGGGGGCTTTATACCCCTCTAGCCAACTCTTTGCACTGGGCACAACTCATGAGCATCAAGAGTGTCCCATTCTATTGGCAATGCTCTTCTATAGCAAATATACAAGCTGTGTGTGTGCACTTGAAAGCCAGTCAGCAATGGGGACACATTAAAGTACCTGAATTTACTAAATAAAAGCTGTCTACAGGCGTTAGGACATACACCAAATTGCCACTTCGTTAACACCACCTCCTTGTTTCTACACTCTCAGTCCATTTTTCAGCTCCACTTACCATAAAGGTGCACTTTTTAGTTCTACAATTACAGACTGTAGTACATCTGTTTTCCCCTTTAACCCTGTTCTTCAATGGTCATAACCCCCACAGGACCCTCACAGAGCAGGTACTATATGGGTGGTGGATCATTCTCAGCACTGCAGTAACACTGACGTGGTGGTGGTGTGTTAGTGTGTGTTGCGCTGGTCTGAGTGGATCAGACAGCAGTGCTGCTGGAGTTTTTAAACACCTCAGTGTCACTGCTGGACTGAGAATAGTCCACCAACCAAAAATATCCAGACAACAGCATCCTGTGGGCAGCACCCTGTGGCCACTGATAAAGGACTAGAGGATGACCAACACAAACTGTGCAGCAACAGATGAGCTATCATATCTGATTTTACATCTACAAGGTGGCCCAACAAGGCAAGAGTGTCTAATAGAGTGGACAGTGAGTGGATTGACCATCATGTCAGAGTCACTGCAGTGCTGAGAATGATCCACCACCCAAATAATACCTGCTCCTTGGTGATTCTGTGGGGGTCCTGACCATTGAAGAACAGAGTGAAAGGGGGCTAGCAAAGAGAAACAGATGGACTACAGTCTACAAAGTGCTCCTATATGGAAGTGGAGCTGATAAAATGGACAATGAGTGTAGAAACAAGGAGGTGTACTTAATGAAGTGGTGTATAATGTAAGATACTGGCTGTCAGTAACGGTTTGAGGCAACTTGCGCTGCTCAATATATCATTTAAAACGTAAGACTAGTTTTGTTTACAGCTCATTCAACATTAGTAGTGATCCAGGTTATGACTGGGACAGATATAAGTAAACAAAACAGACAGCCGTCAGTTAAAATGGTATGTCTAAGTGCCTCCGAAACCTTCAGGTTGTTTCCATCTCATACCTTTATCCTCCACCTCGCTTATCTTCATCTCCTGCTCCACGCTGAAACTCTCTGGGGCACTCCCCCTGTCCGGCTGTCCGTTCTGAGCAGCCGGGTCCACCACGGCTGGGTCCGGGGTGCCGGTGGCGTCCGGAGCCGAACTCGAGTCCGTCATCGTCGGCAGGTTTCAAGCGACCAGCATGCGAAGAAATTTCGAGGGGAACGACGGAGGGAAGGAGGGAAAGAGGGAGGGAGCGAGAGACCGAAGGAGCGAGCAGCCCTGCCTGGGCGAACTGAGTGGAACTATAGCGAAGGGAAGTTTGATTCGGTTTTAGTGAACCGATTCTTTCCAGCTGCCCGGTAAATGAGTCGTCCCATTCAATGATTCATTGACTCGCAAGTCAACCTTATTCTCATCACCTCCACATAGAGCATCAGTTCAGATACAGATATCCAAAATGATTGGTCGTCAACAGCCTCATACCCCATATACAACGGTTATTATTACAGGAGAACTCCACCGAATTTTCAAAAAATTCTACATAATTAAATGGTTGAGATGTTTAAAGTCATTCACTGTGGGTTAGGTTTGAAATATCCGTTCTAGAAAATTAACTAGTCAGAACTGTGCACAATGGTAGTGATAGGAACCAGACGTCTGAGGAGTTTGATGCCTCAAAAAGCTCCCTCACAGAAAGTTATTATATGACATAATTAGATATATGTTGCTTGATGTCTGACACACTGTTTTATCAATTTTGTGCTGAAGTTTTGGCTTAAAATTTAAAAAGTATTTTAATCCATCCATGGCATGTCGGAGGGGTACATGCAGGGTGTTGTAAGGCAAAATAGTCCCCAAAGAAAACTTACTTTTTCAGATTTATCACTATTTTACCATCATCTGCATCACATATAAAACCTCCGAAGGCAGGCAGCGTGTGGGTTCACTGGCTTTATTTGTGTTCTAGACATGGTGACCCCTGGTTCACATCAAACTCATTTAACCCATCCCCTTTAAGTGCCGTCAATTCGATGCCGATTCCTGGCTACCATATAGATGTTTCTCTATGTCCTGTCGTCTGTTTTGGATATTAGGCTTCCTAATGTTCGTGATTTGTTTGATACGCATCCATCTTGTTGCTGGCCATCCTCTTTATCTTTTACGACGGTTAGTCAAGGCGAATGTATTTAAATCCCTGCCGTCCATAACAACATTTGATTCAATGAATCAAACATCTGATTCGTTCATTTTCACTCCGAATTTGGAGCGGGGCACAACAGTAATTAAAGTTAACTTTATCTTCCCCATTCTATACAGATATACTGGATTCAGTCAATGAGTCTGGTGTCCACTACTTCTACTTAATACAGTAAAGATAAAGTCTGCAACCGTGTACAGAGAGAAATGATAAACTAATTCAATGGGTTTTTCTTAACCGCCTGTGGTACAATGTAGTGTTTGATGTCACGACGTGATCTTAACCTGTGAAGGACCTTTTTTCGAATTTCACTGCAAGTCTTCAGCCCCTCGCGAAGACGTAAACAATGCGCTGATGCCACTGGGAAGTTCGATTCAGTTTGATTGTGAATCGGTTCAAAAGAAAGCTTCATTCGGAAACCACACGCGCTGCGGTCTGTGGCTCGCGCCTCCCTCACTAACACGCGCAAAACCAAGCGCGCGCACACACAGGCGCTAACGAGACCTGGAGAAGATGGCGAGAAGACTCTAATTAAAAAGAGAAAAGAGGAAAAAAATGTGTTGATACCACCTTTAGCCCGGGCTGTAACTCTCTCTGAGAGCCCGCTTGGAGGCTGCTGAGAGGCGACTGGGTTGGTTAGGCTAGCTGGGCCTTTCCCCACATACTGTATGCTCGGTGATCCTCAGGCAAACTGCCTAATGAGCGCGGAGTGATCTGTAGCACCGGCTGTGTAGCTACAGGATGGAATCACAAGTTTGGAATTAACTTCCAGAGTTCCAAATTAATCAAATTTAGGCCCTCAGTGATGAATTTAGCTAGAGCCCTTTTGACCGGACATGAAAGCCCAATCCTGGATAAACCTGTGTCGACTGTGAGTATTTTTCACCGACAATCAGTAAAACATACACTTCAGTGACATTTTCCCTTAAAGAGGAAGTCCTCGCGTTTTCCAGAATGTATGCTTAATTAAAGCGGAATTCCACCAATATTGCACAATTTCAGAGTGATTTGACGTGACACGATTTATTGTAGAGAAACAAACGGACTCAGATTTCTTTACAGTGGTGGTGATAGGAACCAGGGTTTATGATGTCTACAACACAAATATATCCATTTTATTTATTTTCCAAAACCAACACATACATTGTAGGTTTTTATATGTAGTGTTAATTATGGTTAAATAATCATAAATCTAAAAAAAATTAGTGTTCTTTTGGGATTATTTTGCCTCACAACACCCTGCATGTACCTCTCCGCCATGAATTGATGAAAATAAAAGGACTGAAAGCCAAAACATTTTCACAAAACCATCATAAGACAATGTGACAGCATTAGGCAGCATATATCTAACCACTTAATGTAATATTTTTCTGGGAGAGGAGCTTTTAGAGGCGTTAAACTCCTCAGACATTTGGTTCCTATCACCACCACTGCGAGCAAAGCATTTCACATTTCACATTAAAGCACTCGGAATGACTGTTCATATGTTAACCATTAAGTTCCGCGGAAATTTTGTTCCCTTTTAAGTGGTTAAGATGTATACAAAGTCATTCATATCAGTTCAAGGTGAGACGCTCAGTCATAGGTAAACATACTGAATTAGAATTGTTTACAGTGGTGGTGATAGGAACCAGACGTCTGAAGTGTTTAATGCCTTTAAAAGCTACCTAAAAGTTATATAAAACATCTGCCTGAAACCTGACACATTGTTTTCCGATAGGAAAACTGCGTGCAGGCAATGCAAGGCAAAATAGTGCCCCAAGAAAACCTATCTACCACTATTTTACATATAAAACTGAGTAGGCACATGTAGGTTCACTGGTCTTTTGGATAGTGAATAAAATGGCTATTTTTGTTTTACAGACATTGTGATCCTGGGTTCCTATCACCACCACTGTAAAGAAACCCGAGTCGGTAAGTTTCTCTACAGTGAACCATTTCACATCAAATCACTCTGAATGGTATCTCAATGATTGACTTACCTTGAAATTTGTGCTAGTGATTGGTGTTTTTGACATAAGAAAAAGGGAATTTACAGTGAGATTTGGACTCAGAGACTAAGGTTTGAATGTTGCTTTGGTGATGTCTGGGTTTAGGTAAAGCCACCCAAACTGTGTACACTAGAGAAACTTGTGTTTGCTCCCATCTTGTGTCTCAAAGCTAAAATTGCAGCCTTAAGGGGCCTATGTAGAGGATCCCTGATCAGGATGGGTTTTTAGCCTAAAGATTGATTTTATTTTTCCATGTTATTTGTTTTACCTCAGTAAGAATTAGAAAAAAGTCTAGTTTGTAGCTGTAATGCCAGTGGATCAGGTGGTTCAAGGAAAAGAAGCTTCACTTGTATCGAAAGAATCCATCCTACCAGTTTTAATAGTAGATTTCAATCTATAATTGATCAGCAGTTACAGTATGTGTGAGAACTCTATAGAGATGACACGATACTATAGAAGCATAATAGTATCAAAATGAAAATGAAAATGTAATATGTAAAATACTAATGTATTTGTATGTTTGCATTTATATTTTCCACTCATATATGCAATGTTGAGCTAAAATGAAAATTCTAATTTAATACTGTGATGTTAATTTGGTATACTCATATTGATATTTCATTTACACAATGATTTAGATGCTTTATGAGTAACTTTGTTTAAATAAATTTAAAAATATCCACATAATGGTTCAGTTCTAGAGAAACTTACTGAGTCAGATTTGTTCACAGCGGTAGTGATAGGAACCAGACATCCAAAGAGTTTAATACCTCTAAAAGCGCCTTCACAGAAAGTTATCACAGTTATTATATTCATTATTACTTCTTTTTTCAAATTTTCCGGTCCACCTTAAACATGTGCAGCAGTTACATTCTGCTGTTTCAATGTGGCCAAATGTTACAGCAGCACTGTTTAAGGTGGAACGTAAAAGAAGCTAACTTCAGCTTCGTTTCATAAGCTGAGAACGGTGGCTGAAAGTGAGGCTGGACGTCTAAGATCTAAGTGGATGCCATGCAGCAATATCGTCCACATAGTGAGCAGCAGAGGTGGATATGTTGCTCTGCTATCAGCTCACCTGCTAATACGCTCATGTGAATTGTGGAGGGCTGCAGAATTAAGCTAGCTAAAAGCCATTGTTAATGCTAGCTAATGCAACATAACCAAACAAACCCCATCTGCTGCTTTTACCAGCTGACAAACATGACCCAGCTCACTGTGTCAATCACATATACCAGCAATTTTTGCAATATTATTTTTTAAAAAGGAAAGCAGGACATTAGAGACCTGCTGAATTCAGTTGAAATATAACAGGGTACCAACACAGTAGTGAATGTTACCAGCTCAGCCCCTATGACAAGATGGTTGTCTGATTTACACATGTTTATGTGTACCAGTACAATTACAACTAAATAATGTTTTAAATACATTTTTTTTATAACAGATAAAGCACATAAAACAGATAAAACACATCTGAGGTTCAATATGTAAGTTAGAAAATAGCCCTCAATTAATCTCTGCCACATCTGTAGCTGACAGCTGGCTAACACACAATAATTTCAATCAACTGATTGAAACAGAAAAATCTGCCACATGTTTGGTTAAATATTCTTTATGAAGACAAAGTAATCACAACAAAATATTATATTGCTCTGTTTCACTCCTGTTTCTCCTTTTCTAAAGAAAGATCGGCTGCCGTAGATTAAGCCTTTTCCACTGGGAGTGCTGTTGGCCCCGCCCTGATGGGATGATTGACAGGTTGGGAAGTCAGTGAAAATGAAAATGCAATCTGGTCGAATCATTTCAAAGCATTTTGACACAGAATGAGAACAGGCGAGAATATGTAACTGCAAAGAGAAGAGGCGCTGTTTCCCATTTACATTTGAATTTTGCCCTCTGTCTAGCTTGTTGTTCTCTCTGATAATGCAATGCAACTGCATTAATAGAAAGTGAAAATGCATATAAGATAAATTACATTTCAATTATTATATTGACATAATTCATCCCCTTGGAATTATAAGGTTCTATCTGACATTTTAGTCAAAACTAGTTATTCACATATTCTTATTCTGTGACAAATTCATAACATAATGTGAGGTGTTTCTTTATCTAGAAAACAA